CTGCGGGCGCGTATCCGCCGCGCAGGGTGGCTCCGGGACACGGCCGTGTTTCCGTAGGAGCCCGCACCGAGCAGCTGCTCCGTGCTCCCGTTCTGCTCGAAGCCGCCCATGCGGGCAGGGCGGGCGCGGCTCCGCCGGTCCGGGTGGCCGTTTCTGCCGTGTGCTGCCCGCTGCCAGCGGCGCCGGGGACCGCATCGCCGTGACAGACTTTGGTTTTTTGCCGTGAAGCTTTGTAAAAATGGATGGAAGACTCCCACAAAGTTTAGGGACTGCTCTGCATCCTGATGCCTCGTCCACTAAGTTGAATCCCTAATGCTGAATTCCTGAATAAAATAGGTAATGTATGTATGTACGTTTTTTTTTTCTTCCTTTATAGGAGATATTTTAAACCTACAGGTCTACTATCCTTGGGAGTTCCTTTCCAGCTCTCCTTGCAGAACAGTTGTTTTCCCGTTAATGACATCTGGAGTTACCTACTGGGTGATCAAGTCTTTGCAGCAGCTGGACGTATGTTCAAGTTGCATCAACAGCTACACCCTTCTTGTATCGCCTCGCCTTCTCGTTACGGTCTTTTCTTTCATCCTTGACTACAGCGTTTATCGATTAGCTCCTTTCTGGGAAGCTGATCCGTGGAAAGCGCTGGTGCTTCTTGCCGGATCATATGTCACTCTGGTATTTTACACGAGGACGTTTACCAACACGCTTGAAGGACTTCTCTTTGCTCTTCTCATGGTGTTGGTTTGCTCAAGAAAGCCTGATGGCAGCTCAGCAGGGCCTACACACAGCCCTCTCATAGGTATTGTAACCACTGCTGGGTTTTTCAACAGGCCAACCTTTTTGGCATTTGCTCTAATGCCCCTGCTCTACTGGGCAGGTTTAATTGTTGAGTCTCAAAAGAGCATTAAAACCATCATAAACCACTTTTTGAAGCTTTTCCTATGTGCGTGTTTTACTGCCATTGTTTTCATAACAGCTGACACCTTCTATTTTACCTCCATGGGCTTAGACAACCTCTACAGCATTAAAAAGAACAGCTTATTTGATGTAATAGGTCAACTAAATGAGAAAATGGTAATAACCCCTTTCAATTTTCTCAGCTATAATCTTAATTCTCATAACCTCGCACTGCATGGAAGTCATCCACGAGTTACGCATTTTACAGTCAATGGAATAATGCTCTTTGGGATCTTACATGTTCTGGCCATCGGTGCTGGTTTTAAAATGTTAAAGAAATACGTCCCTCAGCTAATACAGGTCAAGTCACGTTCCCATGGGTCACCTGGGCTGCTGGCAGGTTCTGAGGGCAATCCAACGTTACTGCTGTTTTATTTTGTCCCTTTGGCATTTCTCTCCCTATTCAGTCATCAAGAACCTCGGTTTCTCATTCCTCTCATCTTGCCATTAGTCCTTTTCAGCACGTCACAGAGCAGAGCTGTGAAGTGGAAACATGTCATTATTATTTTCAATGTTCTCGGGGCTTTGCTGTTTGGGTGCTTACACCAGGGGGGACTGATCCCATGCTTGTTTCACTTGGAGCAACTCGTGCATTCAGAGTCCTCAAACCACCCAAGGCACTATACTCTACTCTTTGCTCACACCTACATGCCTCCCAGGTCTCTGCTGAACATCAAGAAGAGGGACACACATATAGAAGTCATTGACATGGCTGGGTCTGAAGAAGAAACCCTCTGCCGAGCAGTAGAGCAGCGAGCAAACAACTTTACCTGCAATCACTGCCATGTGTTTGTTATAATCCCTGGTACAGTCAGAGCCACAATGACAAAATGTGGTGTCTTGTTCAGGAATGAGACTTTGATATTTCCCCACTTATCAATGGAGGACCCTCCCCAAATCCCTTTCCTGTTCAGTGGAAACTGGAGAAGTCAGTTAGGACTGTACATCCTTCAGCTGGACAGGGGTCAGCAGCACCTCTAAGAGAACAGTGTTTTAGTTTTTCACCTCACTTGCGCGCTGCCCAAAGCTGTGAGACCTCCCTCTCCACAGACCCACTTTCAGCACAAGTAGTGCTGCTGGGAGCTCCCCTGAGTCGCTTTATTCCCTTTCTCCATGCCCTTACACTCACCAGTATAGCCAGTTTTGGTAGAACCAGCTTAAAATTTGAGTTGCCCTGTCATGTTTCATAAGAAGTTACATAATTTTCCCGATGAGAGAGGATGAAATCAGAGCCCGCCAAAACCATGATTCAAGCTCAGCTCTTTCCATGTGAGATTTATTTTTGAAAGTCCTTATAATCCCTGACAGAGGTTTGCAGATTGTGTGGTTTTTACTGATAATAGGCATTAACTCAGCTGCTGGAGGGCGGTTACAGGACTAGACGAAAGCTGGTCTGACTCACATTTTATTTTTATGCTCTTAAAAATCCAGAGCCTCCTCTGTCATGCGACCAGATTGCAGACACAATATAGGCACCGGCACCGTAACGTTGTCTTGAGTGGCTCTGTCTTGAAAAATCCCCAGCGTTGATCTGCCAGAATCTGATTTAGAACACGGAAGACGCTTCAGTGTAAGTACTTGTGCTAAATCCCAAAATCCACGCTTTGCCTGTTTAGCGTTTCTTGCTGCAGTTGCGTTCCTGAGGACGCGCTCCCTATGTGTGACGTATCAGCAGCTCAGGAGTGCCGCGTTTTGATGGCATTAAGCCTGTCTGTTGTTCCAGTACAGCAAACTGGGCGGTCCTCCTCCCGCGGCACATCCTGCGGCACTCATTGCTCTGTCATGGCTCCAGCACTGGCAGCGGTGTGGTGCAGCACGAGCTCTGTGGCGAGCTGGTCCACAGAGCTGCGTGGACACCGAACGGGTAACTCAGCGGGATTTGGTCCTTCGTAGGCATTTGTCCAGGTGGATCTCCGACCTGGCTTACTGCGGGCTTAGAGACCCACCACTTCTGCTGCAGGGGAGCGTGTGAGGATCCGAAGGAGGAGCTGCATCCCCCTCCCCTTTCAGTAACCGCTCCCCATTAAATCAGCTTAGTGGGAATGACAGGTCACATTCTGGCGCTCTGTCGGAGAGCAGGCTCACTTTAAAGTGGGATACAAATAACCTCGAGCTTCAGCTGAGAGTGATGCTCTGTAATGGTGTAGCACAACCAACAATTTTTGGTTTTGCCTGCATGAACTTCTGTATCCAAAACATCCCAGCATGGAGGGAGACACTAATTGGACACATGCATCGTGGGTCAAGCTGCTCTCTATGAAATGGATCCGTTACTTGAATTCTTTCTGCTCACAAAGGCAGCAATGCTTTTTGCAGTTCTTCATCCACACCACTTTACAGAAGGTCTTATGAGCCAGTTAAAAGACAAGGATATACGTCGAAGCCAGGCTTTAAAGGGAAGCTAGGAAAAATTCCCTGTGTGTAGGATTTGCCTGTATCTTCCAAACTATACGTACAATCTAGGTTTCTAAGGAACACAGCTCTTGCTGTTGTGTAGAGCATTTTAAGCCTCCCCTACCTGTTCATGTCACATCCTTCATCCCTCATTATTGACAAGCCTGTAAATTAAAGGTGCATGGTTTTGGGGAGGCAGGGGGAGAGGGGGTGCACGTACGTACTGATGGCTCACAAAGTAGTGCAGGTGGTTATGACACCAAATGTATTTTCCCATTTCCTTTCTGCTCTCTTATGTTGGGATGACAGCAGTTGCCACATGTCCTGCTTACTGTTTTCAGCTTTCTAGAACGTCTTTTTTTAGATTTTGAAAATTATTTTCATAAAACTTAGGATCTCTGGCAATCTCAGTGTGGTAGATCTTGAAACTCTTCATGGATGCAATGGAGCACCATTCCCATGGCACGGTGACTTCTCTACTGCTCCACAGGTAACCTGTGATAGAGCCGGGACTACCAATACTAACTCGGACCGAAAACGCGCTGCTTTTGTCTCACCAGCTAGACCTTTAGCATTTACACTGTACGCGCAGTTTTTCCATCCATGCACACCGAAGTCTGTGTTGGTGGGAGGTTTAATTTTACCAGCAATGCTGGAACCTGTATCTCAGATAATCCACAAGGTTCTCGTCACCAGGAGTGATGCAGAGCATGGAAATCATCCTCTCCAGCTACCTAAGCTTCAGGTCAGCTGGACTAAACATTGAAACAGGCCCTGAAGGAAGGCTAACTGCTTTAGTCTCATATATGTTGTCAGATATAGCAACTATGTAAAACAGCCCAGTGTATCACACATGATGGGCACATCCTTTTCCATATTTATAGTTAGGATGGCTCCATTGGTAATTTTTTTTCTCCCTAAACCCTTCTTGCTACCATAGACTTGAGGTGTGCTTTTAGGATTTTTTTTTCCTCTTTTACCTACCTGTAAAATGGGTGATTAGCCTATCCCTCACCATCAACATTTAGAACTCTTTGTATCAAAGCTGTATCAAGTGCAGAATATTACTGTTGTATAGTCAGAAATTGTTAAAGGAATTCCAGTGACACATTTGTTTTTATTTCAAGTTTCTTATCAAGCACTTAACAATCTTGACAGTATTCTGGATGATGCTTAATGTGAGTCTGCCTGTTACTGAGTGCTGGGCAAAGTGTAAACTGACTTTGAAATGAAAATCCATCGTACCAGGAACCCGCGTGCCTCACGTTCTCATGCTTGGATTGGGGAACCGCTCGTGGCTCGAT